TTTTTTTTTTGTTTTTTTTTTTTTTTTTTTTTTTTTAATGCAATTAACCATGCATTACACCATTTGTCTTCCACTGCTTCGATCACTAATAGTATCGCGTCCTCCTTCTTTTACATTTGATATCATCCATGTGGCATATCCTCAACTCAACAAAAGATGGATCTCAACTATTACAAAATCTATTAACAAAGCGACAATCAACTATTACCGAAAGCAATGGTAAGGATCTGTTATTTAAAGTTGATTATATTGCTTGTTTATTGTGAAATTCATTTTTTATCATTGTTTACCAAAGTACCGTATACTTTTTTCCTTTTACTGTCATCAATTAACAGTATTGTGTAAGTACAATATTGCAAGCCACATAAACGTATATCGCTAAACGAATTAATAAATTAGCTTTCCTGATAGTTCACTTGTAAAGAAATATCTCTGTGTCATGTAATAATTCCAGTATACAATTACAACTTTAAAATGACAAAGACTTTTCAATTAAACAGTAGATACTGTTGATTCACGTATATTACGTGTGGTATCTTTACAATAAGCTTGAAATCATAACTGTTCAACTATGCAGCTTTTACTTCATTTTATTTCAATATATGATCGAAATATAACAATTAATTTAATAAAAAAAAGCCAGCAAAAGTTGGATGACTTCATCATGATGAAAAAATTAATAAATAAAATGCTGCAGTTTGCGGCAACAATGATATTAGATGAAGTTAAATATTTCCGAAATTTTTATAGGTCAAATTTCAAATATTAATGGTAAATAAAAGAAAACTTCAAAATTTAATTTGTCGATGTTGAATTGCATCTGAAGTCAAAATGAAAATTATGAAATTTCAACGTAAATGTCAATATTATATGAATTGTGTCATCCACGGATATCGCTCACCGACATTATCTTAAAAACTTTCAATGTGCTTACATTTTAGCTTCAATATCTTGCTTTCCGGCTTAATGCCTAAGCAGTTTTCATACTTTTGCTTTAGCCATTTATTTTCATTCAGTTTCCCTATCGCTGGGCTGTCGATATAAATCCATGCATGAATTTATAAATTCAAAATTTAGGTCTTAAGAAATTGCTAGTTTAAAACAAACCGTGCAAAGATTCAGTTGTTTTGAATTGAAAGATTAATGAGATTGACAATGCGTTTTGCTAAATTGTATCCAAAGATCAGAAAAGAATTTAAGAAAAACGAAAACGGTGAAAGCGGTTGTAAAATATTTGCCATTCGTAGGTTATGATCAATATAGGAGATGGGATTTAAGATAAAATTCAAATCACTGCTATTCTAGTTTGATAATTTGTTGAAAATTTTAAAACCAGGAAAAAAACAGCGAATCAATTATTTGGACATTTGATTTATTTCACTTCCATATCTTTCCTTAACTTCAAATTCAACTTACCTTATAGAGAACTATGATTTTTCGAATTAATCATTCCTTGCAGATTCATTCCTTCATTAATTTTAAAATTTTTGATAATGATTGTCGAAATGAATATAAAGGAAAGTACATTGGCATTGCTTTGTATTTTTGCAGTAAGTCCGATTTTTTTTTTCTGAACTCTTTTGAAGTTCTTGTAAATGGATTGCTCATAAATGAATCAGTATATTTAATGACCAAAAATCAGAAGGATCATTGCCTAACCAAAATATTATCCTACCTTCCAGAATTTTAAAGATTTTAAGGACTATGTCCTTTAATGGTTATTTAATTGCTCCACACATAAGACTGAATGATAAGACTGAATTTTATTTAATGTCACCTTTGATGTAGGTATCACTGTCCGGATTAATTGCCAATGGTCTCTCACTCCATATCGCAACAACAAATACACATTTTCGGAATGGTTATGGCACTCTTTGTGCTGCTATTTTGTTGTGCAATATACAAACAATATTAATTATGCTAATATGGGCAGCAATTGTTCTAATAACGTAATAATACTTTTCATTACGTTTAATTTGTCGCAGTTATCTGTGACAAATATACAAGATTCGAGATTCAGTTAGTTATATTAATTTGATAATTACTGATTATTGCCGTATTTTATGAGTTGTAAATTCAGGAATTCTCCAGAATTATCATCACCAACATCTTCTATCGCTTTAATACCCGGATGTTTGGCATGTGTGAGTTTTTACGGAGCGGTAGTGGTGAATTTATTAACTGCAATAAATAGATACTGCGCATTTGTACATCCTCTAACATATCAATCCTTCTGGTCTATAAAAAATGCTCGCCGTGCAGGAATTATTTCTTATTTCCTTGGATTTGTACCATGTTTTCCGAACATTTTTGGTAAAGTTTTTGTATGTTTGTCTTAGTGAAGGTGAGTTATTTAAAAAATAAAAAAATCATAAAAATTATCAGTGAAGATATTCATTTGTCGGAATCGAAGTTCTGAATTTTAAATGGATTTCAACCAGTAAGTTATAGAACCATGTGCCGTCGTTTTTAATGCGGAATTGGATTTTCGTTGGAGCTACACTAACACCACTTGTGGTCAAATCATTGCATTGTTCGACCCAACGTTCACTACTATAAGTTTGACCATAGCAGCATGCATTGATTTTGTGACGCTTCTCAAGATTAGAAAATACAATAAAGTTACGATTCGCAGTTATTTGATCATTTATTTACAATAATAGCTTCTAATT